CCCCTAGCTACCATGGACAGCTCCTGCGTGGCCCTGAGTAATTAGCATCTCTCCATTAGTGTAACCGCTGGCTTACTCCCTGGGAGATCCTACACAGTGGCCTGTTTGTTCTCCAAGACAAAGTGCCAGGAGCAGAGCAGAGCAAGGAAAAGTGTATATTTATTTATGCATATGGGATGGATGGATAGATGGATGGATGGATGGATGGATGGACACAGAAAGACAGGAAGAGACAGAAAGTCAGAGTTTTTTGGGGGGGTTGTCTGTGTGTGTGTGTGTGTGTGTGTGTGTGTGTGTGTGTGTGTTTCCCAGCCTCTGCCGGCCCCTACTTCCCAAGTGCTAGGATTACAGATACAAGCCATCCAACCCGGCTTCAAGAAGCATTTATTACAGCATGTGTTCTTGTGCAGCAAAAGGACAGTCTGACCCTCTGTATCTGTGACCCAGTCACCCAGTCACCAAGGGGGTTCTCTTCATAATCTCATCTACAACGTAAGTGTGATAGATATAATTCCCACCATGCCCCGTTTAATATCCAAATGATCTCAGGATACAACACAGCTCTGCACAGAACCCTCCCTTCTTGCTAGGCATGGAAACAGACACCCTCTTGAGGGATGACAGGCATCCTCTTTGATGCCATCTCCTTTTTTCCCCCATACCCCTTGATCTAACTTCACCCTCCATGTTGCTCTCAGACCTCCTATCTGGCTCCTACCTCAGGGGCTCACACATGCCCCTCCCTCTGTTACAAGGTCCTTCTCTGGGGATGCTCACTCATTGTCTTGCTTTCTTTACATCTTTGCCCAACAGTCCCTTTCTCCAGGAAGCCTTCTTACTGCAAGCTCACATTATTATCAGCAGAATCCCCAGTGCTTCACAAAGAAGATTGCAGTATTACCAGCAGAATTCCCAATGCTACCCAACGCTCATTGTTTTCCTTATCGCTCATAACTTCCTAACATACTGTCATGCACTTTTACCTTTTTTTTTTTCAGTAATAAGAGGGCTGAATAGGGGGGTTTATGGATTCTAGGAAGGTGCTCTACCTCTTAGCATATCTCAGTCCCTTACTGGGGGATTCTAGGCAGGGGCTCTACCACAGAGCCACACCCCCAGCCCTTCACTGGGAGATTCTAGGCAGGGGCTCTACCACAGAGCCACACCCCCAGCCCCTTACTGGGGGATTCTAGAAAATAAGTCAACGGACAAGCTATAATTTCAACATCCCCCCCTTTTTTTTTTACTTTCCATTTTGAGACAGGGCCTCACTAAGTTGCCCTGGCTACTGAATTCACCCCATAGCTCAGGCTGCTCTTGAACTCATTCTGTAGATGGCAAGCCATAAATTTGTTATCTTCCTGCCTCGGCCTTCAGAGTAGCTGGGATGGCTGTCCTGCACTACCAGGCCAGATGTCATGTCTTACATCATGGAGGAGTTGTACCAAGAGAGACTGTTTAGTCTTCTCAGTGACTAGACCCTTGCCTTGTACACAGAGATGGGCTAAATATTTTTTTTTTGAAACAGCAAAGGGGGTAAACAGTCTTCCTGCCCCCCTCCCTGTGTTCTTCGCTCCTTCCTCCCATCTACATGCTGGAAGTTGTCCTGACTCTGGGGCTGAGCTGGCTCCCTGGTGCCTGAAGCTATTTCCACCATCAAATACATTCCTGTTCTCAGGCTGCCTCCTTTATTAGAGAGGAACCCTGGGGAATGGCCTGGTTCTATACCACCGGCACCATGCTTTGGGAAAACAGTGTTCAATGGGCGAACAAGTGAGTGGAGAGGACGGTGTCCTGACCACAGACAGACAGCAAAGCTCAAGATCCAATTCAAGGAGAAGCCTTCACTGTTCACTCTTCAGGGTAGACGGATGCCTCCCGCAGGCCTTTGAGGTTCCCTGTGCTACCTATAATTGAACTCAAATACCTATGACAGTGGCCCTGTCTCATGTAGTCACTGATTCAACAAACACAACGTAGTGCTCAACTTAGGTGTCCAGAATTGAAGACAGGAAATCAGAGAGAGAGAGAGAGGCCCAAAGATGTCTGAAC